TGCGGATACCTGTTTGAGAGGGGGAGATCGCTGTAATGCGATGCAGAAGGACAGCACAGTGCGAGAGGGGGTGTGAGAGGCTGCGTGTGTTGGGGTAGATCCCGCCGTGTAATGCAACTGCATGCTGAGAACCCTGAGCACTCCGAACTGTCCCTCCTTCTCGTGAACCGTCCCTCTGGCTCATCTGTTGCCTTAACGGGCAACGACAGCGATCCTCCACAGCCACTCTCATCTACCGACATCCCTTCTGACTTAGCTGCGAGCTTTTCGTGATCGCGCGACGCCTCTTCCCTGTCCCTTTTCCCTCCCCGTTCAGCAACGCAGCGCAGAGCATCAGCCCTTGACAGATCTACCGATTCACTCATCCGCCATGGGTGAGTTCACCATCGCCGTCCTCAGCGGTGACGGCATCGGCCCTGAGGTCATGCGCCAGGCCATCCGCATCCTCCGCACTATCGAACGGCTATACGGCCACACATTCGCTCTCAAGGAGGCGCTCGTTGGCGGCGCGGCATACGACGCTCACCAATGTCATCTGCCGCAGGAGACCATTGACGTGTGCGAGGCCGCCGATGCCATCCTGTTCGGTTCGGTGGGCGGGCCGGTGACCGCCCAAAACGATCCCAAGTGGAAGGACGCCGAGAAGACGGCGCTACTGGGTCTGAGGAAGCGGTTCGGTCTGGGTGTGAATCTGCGTCCGTCGGTGATCTACCCGTTCCTGGCTCACCTGTGCCCTTTGAAGCATGAGATCATCAAGGACGGGGTGGACATGCTCATTGTGAGGGAGCTCGTGGGCGGCATCTACTTCGGCAAACACCAAACAGACGGTGAGGCGGAGAGAGAGGGACGGTATTCACTATGACCTGATGATGCTTCGTGTGTCTGTGAACGAATGCGTGTGTGTGTGTGTGCGCGTGTGTGTGTGTGTGTGTGTGTGTGGCCGTGTAGGTGACAAGGCGATAGATGTGATGGAGTACACGGTGGATCAGATCGAGAGGCCCCTCAGGTTCGCATTTGAGGCCGCCAGGATGAGAAGACACAAAAAGGTCACAGTCGTCGACAAAGCCAACGTCCTGGTGAGTGAGAGTGGGGTCGGGTGCACTCGGGCGATTTGTTGTTCGCATACACGCGAAGTGTGTGTGTGTGTGTGTGTGTGTGCGTCAGGACACCTCTCGGTTATGGCGGCGGGTGGCTAACGACATGAAGGACAAGTACCCCGACGTGCAGCTTGAGTTCATGTAAGTGACAGCGGCGCACATCCACACGCCCATCACACACAGAGGCGTGCGTCCGTCTGTCTGTCCATGCCATACCAGGTATGTGGACAACGCGGCGATGCAGCTGATTCAGCACCCGTCGTCCTTCAGCGTCATGGCCACTGAGAACATGTTTGGCGACATACTCAGCGACGCCGCCTCGGTGCTGCCCGGGTCACTCGGACTCATGCCATCGGCGTCGCTCGGCGACAGAATACACATGTATGAGCCGGCTGGTAGGCAAACGAACGAATGAAGCAAAGCCACCAAGACAAGATGCCGTTGTGAGGACTTTGTGTGGCGAGTCTGGCCTGTGTGTTGTGTGTGGCTGGTGGCTGGTGGCTGTGTGTGTAGGTGGGTCTGCACCTGACATTGCTGGGCAGAACAAGGCCAACCCCATCGCACAGATCCTGTCGGCAGCACTCATGCTCAGGTATGACAAAGGCAGGCAGGCAGGCAGGCACGACAAGCAAATGGGCGCGCACCTCTCTCCCCCCGGTTGTCTGTGCCTGTCTGTACGTGTCTGTAGGTATTCGTTTCACTTGGATGCTGAGGCGCAGCTGATAGAGAGGGCGGTGCAGAACGTCCTTGAGGCGGGCAAACGCACGGGAGACCTCACACACCAGGTGAGGTGGGCCAGCCAGTCAGCCAGTCAGGGAATGAATGAATCAGCACAATGGGCAGACGATATGATGGATGGATGGCAGGGCGAGAGTGCGGTGACGACTGATGCGATGGGCGAGGCCATAGCTGCCGAGATGGAGAGGCTCAAGGGCACGACAACCAACGGCCACTGAGGGAGGCGTCGACGTGCTATGTCGGTCGACCGACATACACTCAGACATCTGATGATTGATTTATCCATCGATTGATTTATAGGACATTGCGGTCAGTCAGGCACTGTGTTGTACTAGGGAGCGTCCCCAGTGATGGATGGCATCCATCGTCTCAGTGCAATCGTTTGCCTATGCTTCGGGGGGCGAAGTGCATCTTGACCGATAGATCAATGGATAGATCTATCAAGGCTTGACGCTCCGCTGACTCGCTCTGCGAGCAGAGAGACGAAGGGAGAGAGCGAAGTGTCTTCGGACTTTAGGACTAATTGCCGTGAAACTGAAAAATCGCGATCACACGTGAGGAACAAACGTGGCTGCTGAAACTCCCTCCTCCCCCTCCGCTCCCCCTCCGCCACGCGCCTTGAGCTCCGCATCTGCCACATCTCTTCTCATCTTGCCGCCATGAAGCTTGTCATCAGTGTGCTCGCCATCTGTCTCGCGGCACCCGCCGTCGTGCGTGCGGAGGATGAGGAGGCCGTCGTGACGCTCGGCACCGACAACTTCACCTCCTTCATCGAGCAGAACCCTCTCAGCCTCGTCGGTAACCACACACACACACACACACGCACCCTGACGCTGCCTCACCAGATCTTGCGCACATCTCTCTCTCTCTGTGTGGTTGATGTGTGACGTGTGGTGTGACTGACGGTCCTCAGAGTTTTACGCGCCGTGGTGCGGTCACTGCAAGCGTTTGGCTCCCGAGTACGAGAAGGCCGCCAAGAAGCTCAAGGAGAGCGGCGGTCCGCCTCTGGCCAAGGTGGACGCCACGCAGGAGAAGGAGCTGGCGGAGAAGTACGAGGTCAGGGGATACCCCACCATCAAGTTCTTCAGAAACGGACAAGCCGAGGAATACGACGGAGGCAGGACGGTCAGTCAGTGAGCCAGCCTGTGGGCGACGAGCGAGACGAGCTTTGCACGTCTGTGTGTGTGTGTGTGTGTGTGTGTCTCCATCTCTGTCTGTCTGTGTCTGTGTCTGTGTCTGTGTGTGCGTGTGTCTCGTTGTTTTGTCTGTGTCTGGCTGGCTGGCAGGAGCCGACGATCATAGAGTGGATTGAGAAGCGCACGGGACCTGCGGTGCGTGTGGTGACGGGTGAGGAGCTCGAGAAGCTCAAGAAGGATAAGGACATCCTCATGGTGGCGTTCGTCAAGGACCAGGAGGCAGAACTCTTCAAGACATACGAAAAAGTCGCAGACAAGAACAGGGACCTCGCATTGGTGAGTGAGGGAGATACATACGGAGGAAGGGAGAGTGGCTGTGGTGGTCATCTCTCTCTGTGTGTGTGTGTGTGTCAGTTCATTGCTGTGGTGAGCGGTGACGCGAAGGATGAGGTGATTGCCTACAGGACCGACGAGGACCCCACCACCTGCACCGGCAAGGTGAGAGGAGAGGAGCAGCTCCCACACACACACACACACCTCTGTGTCCATGTCACGTGTCACGTGTATGTGTCGTCTCCACCACCTGACCTGTGTCCATGTCATGTGTGTCGCCAGTCTGCCGATGAGATCGAGGCTTTCGTCAAGGACGAGTCCTTCCCACTCTTCGGCGCCATCAGCGGAGAGGTCACACACACACACACACACACACACACGCCAGTCTGCGTGTGGTCTGACTGACTGTGTGGTCATCTCATCCATATGTATATCAGAACTACAGCAAGTACGTGTCTCGTTCGCAAGACCTGGTGTGGGCGTGCATGTCGCCCGACGACGCCAAGAAGCACGGCGACGCCATGCGGTCCGCCGCATCCAAGTTCAGACAGAGCTACTCCATGGTCCACCTCAACACGGAGGAATTCGGCAGCCACGCAGAGAGTGAGTGAGGGGGAGGGACCAACACACACAGACCACCCACCACCCACCACACCACCCTACCCCACCACCAACACACAGGCTCACCCCCTCCCTCTGTGTGTGTGTGTGTGTGCAGATGCGCTCGGCGTGAGCGAGTTCCCGGCCGTAGTCGTGCAGAAGAAGTCGGGCCGCTACGTGTACCCCACTGAGCTGGCCATCGAGGCTGAGAAGCTCGTGTCCTTCCTGGAGGACGTCAGTGCGGGCAAGGTGGAGAAGGCCATCAAGAGCGAGGCCATCCCCGAGAAAAACGACGAGGCTGTCAAGGTCGTCGTCGCCAAAAACTTCGAGGAAATGGGTACACGCATCCATCCATCCATTGGCAACACACAACACACAACACACGCCAGCATCCATACACGTCTCTCTCTCTCTCTCTCTCTCTGTGTGTGTGTGTGTGTGTGTGTATGTGTGTGTGTCAGTGCTGCGTGACGACAAGGATGTGATGCTTGAGGTGTACGCGCCGTGGTGCGGCCACTGCAAGAAGCTGGAGCCTGTCTACAAGGAGTTCGCCGAGAAGCTCCAGAAGGCGTCCATCGACCACATCGTTGTCGCCAAGATGGACGGCACAGCCAACGAGTCACCTGTCGAGGGATTTGACTGGAGCGGGTAAGTAAGTAATGAAGGCTATGCTATGCTGCGGTGGGAGAGGCGCCCACCACCCATGAGTCGTAAGCACGTGTGTGTGCGCATGTGTGTGTGTGTGTGTGTGTGATTGTCAGTTTCCCGACTATCTTCTGGATCCCTGCCGGCGCCAAGGGCCCATCGAAATATAACGGGGCGAGGTAAGGATGCTCGCACGCCACAGACAGCCAAGTGACCCCATTTCTACCCACACTCTTATATGTCCGCCCGTTATCACCACAGGACGACTGAGGGTCTGCTCAAGTGGGTCAAGGAGAAGGCCAGCAAGCCCGTCGTCCACGACGAGCTCTGAGCCACCCCACCTACTGATGGTCGCCCCGATGGTATTCCATACTGACGGACCAACTGAACAGCTGGCTCGTGACAGACAGACAGACGGACAATGACATGAGGGGTGAGGGGAGGCCTCTCTGCTTAGCGTCGGTCGGGTGGATGGATGGATGGCTGAGTGAGTCAGCTTTTTCGCCTATCAGTCTTTTCAGTGTGTGTTTTCAGGAAGAGTGAAGAGTGAAGGAAGAGCGTACAGACCTGTCTGTCTGTCTGGCTGTGCATGGCTGTGTGTGTCATGCCTCTATGTCGTCTATGTGTGGGCGTGTTGTGTACGTGCTAATTAAGAGCGGTCCGCTTGTGATGGTGATGTTGATGTGAGGTGTTGTGCGCGTATAAAGCGAGAGAAGAGCAGATCAGAGCAGAGCCGATAGACAAAGCCCGTCTGTCGGCCAAGTGGCTGGCCTTTGATCAAGACAGATAAGTAGACAGACAGACAGAGAAGACGAGACGAAGCGGCATGTAGCCAATCCCTCTGACCTCCCTGTGTAACCTCGCGTCGAGCATTGCCTCTTGGACGAGCCAGCAACATCACAGATGTGAGTGATCCCACGCTCAGATTTGTGCCGTTGCGGCCTGGTAGAGAAGGCGACGCACAAATGCGGGCAGCACAGGGACGGGGAGCGCATGGTGAACCGCGCATACCGAACGTGTTACTTTTCCGACGACATACATGGACGAAGACAGGTGGTTTCTGCCACGCGTAGGTAGGTGGCCAATTCGCTCCAGCATTGTAGCTAGCTGCGGCAGCAAGGAGTGAGCAAGGGAGGGAGGAAGATGATCGCATCGATCGGTAGCTGTCTGTGTGTGTATGTGTATGTGCATGTGCATGTCTGTCTAGGTGCATGGTCCGTGTGTGGTGCATGCATGTTGTCAGCTGGGTGCTCTGTCTGTTATATTATGGCATGGTTGACTGCCAGACATTGATTGACACTCTCTCATGGCTCGCTGTGTGTGAGCGTGCAGTGCATGCCTTACTTAAACGTACGTACGTGACAATTCAACAGCTCGAGTTTGCTGGCCAATCCATCCATCCATCCATGTCGCATCCTCTCAGCAGCGGTTCACTCCTTTGTGTGTTGTCGCCATAGCAGTGTCTCAATCTCTATCCCCCGTGTGTGTGGTGCCCTTCCTGTGCCGTCCTGCCCGTAGTCAGTCTACTGCCTCGACACACCGAGACGCCAGACAAACTCCAGGCTTTCAGGCCCAGGAAGACCCTCACACATTAGGAGGACCGCTCGCCAGGAAGACCCTCACACATTAGGAGGACCGCTCGAATACCAGTGCCAAACACAGACTGTCTGTCTGCCTCGCAGTCCGTCATCCAGGCCACACCGACCTTCCCCCTTGGCGGTGCTGCGCCTTTAGCAGCCACCCGTGCCGTCAGTAGCTGAACCTGGCCGATGGTGCAGCTGCTGACGACACAAGCGCCAGCACCAGACACTTACACCAACACAAGGGAGGGAAGGCGAAAAGGGAGTTCACTCATCAAGCTGCAGAAACGCGACAGCTCATCAAGCCCCCTCTCCCCAACCACACCACACCACACTCCACCCCAGCACACCAGCCTTCCTCCTTCAATTGAGCCCCACCACACCCCACCCGCCCATCTCATTCATCTCTCGCTCTAGTATTAGAGTGAGGATCACACCGCCGGCCACAAAAATACTCACACGGCCTGCCTGCCTTGCCTTGCCTTGGCTCTCCCTCTCCCTCACTCTGCCAGTCAGCCATGCCATCACATCCCCCCACTGGCCCCCCTCTACTCGACCCCTCAATAGAAAAGTGCATAAGACATCGATCGCCCCACCGCATTGCCCGTGGACAACAACCGCGCCCTCAGCCCCCCCGCAGCGGCCGCCACGGCCACTCCCGTGCCCCACCATGCGCTGAGCGCGGCCCCCCTGTCCTCGCCAGATTGACTATGATGCCTCCTCCCCAGAAGCGAGTTGAGGGAGCTGGCGAAAGACGCGAGGCAGAGTGAGGGGAAAAATGGGAACTGGGAGGGGACTGGGGAGGCGGAGAGGGAAGATGGCAGCCGGGAGGGGCTGTTGCCGTTGTCGGCTGTGGCGTCGGTTTGCGTGTTGTCTGGAGGCCTCCTGGTGGGGATGGTGAACGGGGGGAGAGGGTCGTGCTCCTGGATCTGCTGGGCCAGGGCGGACACCACCTCGATACCCTGAATGACCAACACACACACACACACGCACGCACAGCGGATCGATGGGATGGCTGGATGTGTCTATGTCGTGTGTGTGTGTGTGTGTGTGTGTGTTTTGACGCACCCTGTCCGATTTCTCGCCTGCAGATTGTATGGCCATCTTCTCCAGCCGCTTGCCGAGGGTCTTGCCGAAGCCCATCACGTGGTAACACGCCTCCTGACGATACAACGTCCTGCAATCACACACACACACACAGAGCACCCATCGTGTCGTCGGTCGATCCAGCAGCCCTTCCATGTGCCAGCAGTACTGGCTGACCACTGTGGATTGTCAGGGTGCACCCTGTAAGTGCACGTCTCGTCGCATCGGAAGAGCGACCTGAACGTGTGGTTGTGGGAGCGGAGGACGAGGGTGCCGTTGAGCAGGTCGCAGTCGGCCTCCTCGACGGCCAGCCCCTCCAGCTTGAAGCCGAACAGCATCTGCACCCACGACGGGATGCGGTACTTGAGCGACAACAAACGGCGAGTGCGAAACCTGACACACACCACACCACACCACACCACACAGACACACAGGCAGCGGAAGCGTGGATGAGCGTGTGTGGTGTGGGTGAGTGGTCGAGTGGCTGCTTTCTGCATGTGGACGCACCGCACCTACCTCATGTTGTCTGGGTCGATTTCCCGGTTGACGGTGTCGACCTGTACGACGTGCGGCTGGAGAGAGTTGGGGTACTTGCGCCAGTGGGCGCTCGTGACAGTGCCCCAGTCATGCTCAAACGTGTGCTCCTTGACGTACGTCGTCATCGATGACGCACAACACACCCACAGACAGACAGACTGGCAGACACCTGAAGGACGCAGGCAGCGTCACACAGGCCAGGCCGGAGGGAGGAACAGAATGTGCGTTTGTGCACCTGGCTGCCTTTGACATATGACGTACGTACCTATCAGGCGAATCACACACTCCCGCAGCTAGCGCTTCAAAAGAAGGGCGTCAGTCACAGGTGTTGGACACACGGATGAGGTTAAAGAAAGCGATGTACTGCACGTACGTAGACACAAACACGGCGGCAACCAAAGCCTTGTAGGATCAAGACCGGTCCCACGGATGTCGGAAAGTCGGTCACAAGTCAGCTGCGCTTCTGCGAGCCTCGAACCTTGCGACGGATCTCTCCCCCACCACACACAACTTCCGCCAAAAGAGGCTTACAGGGAAGACCAGGAGGGAAAACACGATGCGAGCTCAGGGGGCTTGCGAGCTAAGCCATAATCGACTCGTTTGTTTCCGTCGATTTCGCTGTTGTCGTCCCTTCCTTTTGTCAGATGGCTGAGGCCCCCTCCATCCCCCACCACGGCGAAGACACCGACGCCATCACCACATCCCTGGTGCCATGCAGACCCAACCCGGCCAAGACCATGCTCCGTATATCGGCCTCTCTGCAGCGCCATCTGCTCCAGAAGGCCGAGGTGGCGTCGACCGCGGCCGAGCTGAGCGCCCGTTATGAGTTGGACAAGACCAGGCGGCTTGAAGAATCGCAAGAAAGGCTCAAGCAGCGGTCTGCCGAGGCGTACGAGGCCAGACAGAGGCGGCAGGCCAACAAGCGGGCTGGGGACGCGCTGCTCCAGCGGGAGATCAAGAGGGAGAGGGAGTGCATCCAGGCGTCCCTGCTAGAGCAGAGGAAGATAGAGCAAGAGGCCGAGTTCAGGCGGCTGGTTATCCAGGAGGCCCGGGCCATCCGGCGGAACGACCGTGAGAGGGAGCTGCAGCAGAAGAGGGAGGCGCAAAGGGAGTACTGGCACCAGCGGCGGATGGACAAGGACCACCAGATGCGGGAGCGGTCAGAGGCCATCGTCAGGCGCCGCCAAGAGAAGAGGGACGAGAGGAGACAGGAGCTCACCGCCCGATCGGAGGCCGCCGAGCTGCGCAAGAGCTCCGCCACACAGAGCCGGAAGAGCCTGGCCAAGGACGAGAGCAAGAAGAAGCTGGACGACCTGGCCAAATCTCTCGCACAATCGGATATCGCACAGAAGACGCGGAAGCAGACGATCGCCGCCTTGCAGGTAGACCTCAGCCAGAAGAGCCTCCTGGCGCAGCTGCGGGCCCATGAGACGCAGAGAGAGCACCGAGAGGAGGCTGTTGCGCGGGGGAGGCGGCTGCTGGAGAGGTATGATGAGAACATCGCTCGGGCGGAGCAGTGGATGCAGCAGAGGAAGGAGGATTTGCTGGCCAGGGGGGAGCAGAGGGACGCCGCGAGATTTGAACATCTGAAGCAGCGTGAGGGGCAGCTTAATGAGCAGCACAAAGAGAGAGAAAAGAACGTGAGGCGCGCTCGGAGCGGACACACGGAGGGAGGGCGATCGGAAGATGATGGTGTCGTGTCTGTCTCTGTTTGTGTCTGTGTGTGCGTGTGTATCAGTTGCAAGAGAAGAACTGGAAGCTGCAGCAGCTACAGCTGGACACCGCTGCCTTCAGAAATGAACAAAGCCAAGCCGACGCACTCTACGCTAAAGTGAAGATGGTCAGTAGCGAGACAGACACCAAAGACACACACGTGAGACAGGCACTTGCCCATAAATGCGATGTGGGTCTTCCATGCATCAAGCAGGTATTGGACAGACAGGAGGAGAAGATGTATGTGCACAATCGCTACAAGGCAGCGCGAAAGTTCGCAGAGGACTCGTCGGTCCTCAAACCTTTGGAGGATTTGGCGGCCAGCCCCCGCACCCTCCGCCCCTCACAGCCCACCGCGCCTTGCTCCATGCCACCCTCACCGTCAGCAGAGCGCACCGACCTCCAGAGAAGTCGCATGAAGAGCCTCAAGGACAAGGCAGAGCGGCGCACCAAGAGTGCGGGAGTGCCCTCGTCCAGGCCCGCTGATGTTGAGACGGAGGCCGACCAACGAAAGCAGCAGCAGATCTTCGGCATTAAGCGGGCCAAGTGCGGGTAAACAATACACTACACACACAGCGAAAGACATGGAAAGCCGCGAGGCATGGCCGCGATGGTGGTGTGGTGTGTTAGGTTGTGTGAGATGGACTATGTGGTTGACAACCTGCCTGGAGTTGTCACACACGCGACGGTGAGGCGTCTGCGCGACAGATGGCGGGCAGAGGAGTACAGCGGGGAGAGGGAGAGGGGGTGGCTGAGAGATAAGGATGAGCCGTCAACGGCCCTACGGGACGACGACGAGGAGACGCCGCGGCCAAGGCGGAGGCGTGTCGGGGCGGGTTATTCTTCTGGCGGGGGTCCGTCGCTGCCCCCCGCGCAGATGTACTCGCGTGTCCGACTTTGTGTATTTTGTTTCCAGTTCGTGGCCTTGTCGTCACCTCCCTCCCCCAGAGACAAGAACAGATGATTGATGATCTGATCTGCTGGGCCACGCTGTGTCGTGCCGTGCTGGGCTGCGTGCATGTGTGTGTTGATATCATTATCGTTCCCTACCCTACCTACATTGACTCCTGCTCCCTCCTGCTTTGTTTGCTTGCCTTGTCTCGTGCTGACGTCATCCATGAAGCCCATCCAGCAACAGACATTCACTTATCTTATCGATGCAGTGTCTTCTCTGTCATGCACTAGCCAGCTGACGAGTGTCCCCGCGCGGTGCGTCGAAAAGAGCCTTCAAATCCAGCTGACATAAAATGTAGACAGCGTAGCGCATCCTTGCTGAAGTCCGATACGCTGTGCGTAAAATGGTGTTCACGAGCCGAGCAAATATAAAACGTAAGCAGCGATGGAGACACCATCTGTTCCGCACCGCAACTGCGATGGAACACACACACATTCTAGCTGTCTCCTCTTGGGCTCGTCCGCAATCGGCGGAGATCGCGGGTTGCCGGCCTTCTGACCCTCCAAGAAAACCATGACCTCATGCAGACTATCCACCATCTCTCCCAAGGTACCCCTCTCCCCCTGATCGAAATTGAGCGCCTTTTGCTGCGATGGCCGACAGCTTCTTGATGGCATGATCCAGCCACTCCAGGCCGCGCTCTAATGTCCTCAGGTGCAGATGACGCGGCTCGCGGTCGTCGAAGATGGGGCGGGTCTGGACGGTCTCGTCCCAGTTCAACGCCGTCACCATCTGCTGCTCGCCGTAGCCGTTCTCGCGTCACCTTCGCGCCTGGCCAGGGCAGTCTGCCACATCCTTCCCCCGATGGCGTTCGACAAGGCGAGGCCAAGCCCGAACACAGGCGTGAGCTGGCCGATCAGCACATCCGCCTCGCGCCGCGACGACCCCTCGATCAGCCGCTGCTTCTTGAGGGTGCGGTGCAGCTTCCTGGCGGATCTGACCGATGGATGACCTGAAGGGGAGACACACAAACGGAGACACACCATGTTGTGTCACAGGCATGCACGTCCATGCGAGGGAGGGAGGGGGAATTGAGCGTGCCCTCACCAATGCCTGACGTGGCGTCCTTGTCCTCCATCAAGTAGTGCACGTGCAGGATAATCTGCTCTGGCGCCGCATGGAACTGAGTGTGGGTGGGCAGCTGTGCGGCGGCGTCCTGGGCGTCCTTCCTGCACGGCACACGGGCGACGGGCTCTCGGGGGTGGTTTTGAGTGTGCAAATCGTCGTCCATGAGGAACATGTTGGCCAGGTCGATCAGCACCACGCTGAGCGCCTCCCACGGAGTGGTGGTGGGGGAGGTGGCGGTCCTGATGGCGGCGAGGATTTCCGTGGCCTTGAGCATGTCTAACGAAAGGACAGGAGTACCTCAGAAGAAAGCTGGGTGTTCGATTGTTCGTCTCCTTCTCACCTGACGGGACTGGCTTGGTATCGATGTATACGTTGTTGATGTAGTGGTCCCCGCAGACAAAACCCATGTCATGCGCCACCAGGTGGGCCACTGCCGCCCGCTTGAAGGCCCTGACAAACTCGATGAGCTTCTCGAGGATGCCCTCGTGGTCGTCGGGCCTTCTGCAGGGGTAGTAGTTGTCGATGGTCAGGAAGTCCCTGCCCTGGTTCCACACGTACTCGTTGAGCGACGCATACGAGTCTGCAAGAGATGAAGAATGGCCAAAAAAGACAATGTTTCGACACACGTTTCCACCCAAGGCGCCGCACCCTCTTCTTCGTTTTGTCTACCGGGCAGCAGGTCTAGCTCCAAGTACAGACACTTGTCTGCCTCCCCCGCTCCGCTCTCTCTGTACGTCGCGCCCCCGTCCCTCTCCGCCCTCCAGGTGAAGCATCGCAGAAACGGCGCGCTGGCCAGCCCGTTCTGCTGCATGCTCCACTGAACCTCCCGGTACCTCTGCGCATCGACGGCGAACTCCCGCTGGCAGACGGACCACCAACGCCTTAACGTCCTCGGGAGTCGCCGCCGCTCCGTCAGGGCGCTGCCTGGGCTCGATAGCGAGCTTGTACGCTCTGGCAGCGCCGTGAAGGGACGAGCGGCCGAGAAAGACTGGCGCTGTGCTGCCGCTGCCGAGGCGCTTGGTGAGCTGGATGCTTCTGCTGTTGCTGCCGTCCACCATCTTCAGCTCGGCCAGGGCACTGCATGGCTTCACAAAGCCGCGTGACGGCTTTGCTGTCATGGTGTCATTCATCATCAGCAGTCTGTGACACGACAGAGACACCAGCAGGGCAGGGCGTGCAATGGTTGCACGTACAGGTGAGACGTGTATGTATTCCTTTGCGTTGCCGTGCTTACAGCTGTGCGCTCCTCATTGAGTATGGGCGACAGATCCGCGTTGAGCAGCCCGTATAGGAGGACCGTAGAGCGCAGCGCTGCCACCAGCCAGCCAGATAGATAGACGAACAGACAGACAGACAGAAAACAAATGCACCCACTCTCAGAGTGTCCATTCAAGTTGGTCATTTGTACCCTCAGGTAGTGTGACACTGTTTGCCTCCGCCCATGTGGGGGGCAGCGGCGGCTTGCCCGTGGCTGGCTTGCCTCGGCCTTTGAACTCTCGTGCAGGTGGTGCTGGTGGTGCCCCACTCCCCGCCCCGTCCTCACCGTTAATCGGCTTCTCCTTGCTGTCCTCATCTGAACCGTAGAGGTCGGCAAGACGAAAAAGAGCACACGTGCGTACGTATCTTGTCTTTGTCTGCGTGAGGTGGATGGGAAGATTTCTCACCCCCACCTGTATCATCCTCGTCGTCTTTGTAGAGTCTGAAGGCCGTGCTCAGCGTGCGGGCGATGCGACTCAGGAGCGGACGGGGGGCCGGCTGCTGCGAGTGCTGGGAACTCAGCTCCGTCAAAACATCAATCTCAGTCTGACGGACAGAGAAGAAGACAAGACGGACGCGTGTTTGTGTGTGTAGACACATGGGAATACACACAGCCGTGGCTAGCTCAGCTGACCAGGCCGGCAAGACAGTCGATGGTTTCGCTATCGGTGCCGATCTCAACCCCACTCTCACAGCCAACGGTTTCCGCCAGAAAGGCGAGGAACCACGTATCCTGGGCATGGGCCAGCACGTTCAGACGCCAGGACTTCCCACACCCCGCTGCAACAAGGACAGCACGACAGTGACAACGTTCAAGGTCCGCTTTGCTCCAAAATTCTTGTGACAACTGCAAACGCGCAAGAACACACATGTGCAAGAGACGGTGTGCCTCCATTGATGTGGTGTGTGCGCCTACCGCACGATCCTCCCCTGCGGATGTTTCGTAAAAGACCAGGTTCCCATGCCCAACAGGAAAGTAACGGCTGCGGCTGTTGCTAGTGTGCTGTGAGTCTGCCGCTTCAACTCTGATCGAAACCAAGGCCAACGAGGGGCAACTTTGAATCTGTCAGAATCCTTGTCCCAATGTCGCAAAATCCGTCCCCCAATTCTCGCCCAGTCTCCGTCTCGCGATATCGTTCTGAAAAATTCTCGCCATATATGACATTATTATGTTAGGCCGCAGCTGCTGTGGGCAAGAAGTGCGCGTTGTGGCCACAGAAGTGTGCCACAGATGGATGTACACACTGAGTCCACCACAGGCATGCAGGCGATGTGTCTCTGTCGCTCTTCATCGTGCGTCTGTCCGTATCGCCGTCTATACTTGAATCATATCAGCTGGGCTCCTGAAAGCGCTCTTTCCGCTGCACAGCAGTCGACTCTCGTGAGCTGGTCAGTGCCCCGACAGAATGGTATACAACCGTGAATACATACAGTCACGTGGTCGCCGCACCATTATTTGCACACACAGATGTAAGCGCCACGGCACTACTAGTAGTACTCGTACTCGATGAATTGAGTGCGCACGTTCTGCATCCAGATGAACCGCCCGATCAGCACCAACACCAGGGCCAGCAGCAGCAATGCGCTCGAGCGGGCATCATCAAAACGCAAAGCCGCCAGCACCGTGTTGGGCTCGTCGATAGCAAACACCAGGGTGCCGCGTCTGGCTCTCTCGAATCGGTCTGTAAGGTCCTGCAGTCGGTCGATGGTCGACGTGCCCCGCAGCCACTGCCATCGCTGGGCGCCACTCGCCTCCACACGATGAGCTATCTGAATGAGGAGACAAGGGAAATCACACACTTTTGTTGAGAACAGAACACGTGTACGTCAGGCGTCTTCCTCACCGCGAAGCTGTAGTTCTCGAGGTCCACTGACGTCGACCACCGTGGGTGCGGCAAAGGACCGAACTTCCGCTCCAGACGGATACCTGCACAGCCACCACATGCACACGTGGGTCACTGAATGGGAGCTGTGGACCCTTCACTCATGTAATACGTGCGCTGGTGCCTAGATTGGCCATGTGTGCGTCCACTAGTTGCGACAGCTTGCGGGCCAGGTCAGCAGCACCCGCGAACCCCGATGGGCTGCCCTCGGCGCAGTCTTGGTCCTCCTCTGACGGAGAGGGGGCCGGCACATGCTCGAGCGGAACATCAAACCTGATGCAAATGTCACAGGGAGACAGACGTGTGCAGCCCAGTGCACCGGGGGGGACAGTATATTTGAAGCTTACATGGGTGTGGTTCGGCCAACAGGGTAGTTGCCGTCGATCTCGTGCGGCATGACGTCGACCTGTCCGAATGACAGCGAGTCCGACGACGATGCTGCCGACGATGCAGCAGACTCGCCCCTCAACGCCAACTGGAAACGGAACAGCCCCCTCACCCTGTGGCGACCACACACACACACACATAGCCAGATGCACTGATGCTGGTGCATTGCAGGATGCCGTCTTTTGTATCGACTGGATTGTGTATATCAATGACCCACCTGAGCCTGATGCCGCCGTCATAGATGCTCGTGGCCTGGATCTGCACCAAACAAGGAAGCCACGATTGAAGTGCACGACAGCGTGCACGGCACGGATGGACATGGCATATGCCCCACGCAATCAACAGTCAGCAAGAGAGTTAGAGGCCTCACGGGCATAGCCTCGAGGCAACTAATGCATCCAGGTCATTATCCAGCCATTAAGACTGACTCGACCACCACGCACGTTGACCCATCAGCCCACTCACCTCTACCAGCATCCCGAGACGATCAGGCGCCTCTCGCCACGATGCAGGCGCCTGTGCGGCAGAGGCAGGTCCCGTCCCAGCAGCACCAGCAGCGGCAGACGAGGATGCCGCTGCATGTCTTTGCCGCAAACCTGAACACATGAAGACCCTCATGACATCGAGCCACACCCACGCTCGCTTGCGCACCTTCAGCAGCCCCCTGCTGCTGTTGTATGTTCTCAGCCGGTGGTTCTGGGGCGGCCGGGCCGACCTCCGGCTGCTGCTGGTTGATGACATCAGCCCAGCCGCTCGACACCATGCCAAACCGGAGACTGCCTTCGACGGCATGATTCACCAGCGACTGCCACCTCTGCACACACAGACCTTCAACCGTGTGTCAGCGTGTTTTCTGTCAATCCATCCGGCGAAGGGGCTGACCGGTGGCAGATTGAGGATGGCGGATTCCCCCGGGAACAGAGGCGACGGGCAGACGGACGAACCAATGACGGGCAGCAGTGCGATGGCGGCCTGGGACTGCGACTGGGCAGATGCGGCACGATTGGCACGACTCTCCTCATCTGAAATAAGATACTTCGTATGGTCCATCCGCCAGCTTGTCTGTCTGTCTGTCTGTCTGTCGCACCAGCTGTTTCCTCCTCCCGGATGTGGTCGGCTTTCCTCGCCTCATACTCAGCAGGGTAGTGCGTCTGCTCACACAGCCACACACCCCTAGCTGCGTGTGGGCTCTGTGACTTCTCTTGTGCGCCTTCCTGTCCGTTGCTCCACACCTGAATGAGCTGACTGAGCAGTTTGTTGATATTGGCGTTACTGCCGGTGGGACGCCGGCACAGCGGACACACGGGCCGGTGCTCACGCGCCTTCGCTAGACATGGACTGCAACAACCAGAACAAGAGTGAGAGAGGGCTTTGTCGTTGTCCTCTTTTAGTCGCGCAGTGTCGGCGACGTCGTCATAATGATACCCCAGTCTGCGTCCTTACCGGCAGAAGTTGTGGCCGCAGGACACCGTGATGGGCTCTAGAAGCAGCCGAAGGCCTGCAGAATACCGTACCAGACCCTTTGAGCCGTCCTCTCGCAAAGTCCTCTCCTGTCTTGCCCTTCGTTGCTTACAGATGGCACATTCCAGCTCCCGCGGGATGGACGAAGAAGATTCCTCCTTGCCGTCTTGGTCCAACACACTGGCGGCAGCGTCTTGATCCAGATCCATCGCAACCCGTTTGCTACGAGCCCTCTCTCGAGTCCCCACGCTTGAGTCGACCTGTGTTGATCTAGACCATCTCCACCGTATGGTCTAAGCAGAGCACAAGATAACCAACTACAGCCTCATCAGAGCCCTGGGGTTTAGGGTTTTGGAACCCTCCGGATCGGATTCATTGCACTCACACGTAGAAAACTCCCGCTAAATACACATATAGTATGCCCGAAAAATACGAGTCTGGTCTCGGACGAATGAGTCCAGATGCAGTCGGATGTCGGCCATGCCTCCCCTCCCCTCCCCGTCCCCTCTGTGTCTGTGTGTACATATCTCTCTGCGTTCATCGTCCCTGGCGTGTGCGTCGGCCTGCCAAGGGATCACCACCACCACCAGCTGCAGCTGCTGCAGCAGCCGCAGCGCCAGCGCCAGCGCCAGCGCCGGGCGCCTCTCCACCTGCACAGCACACATGGGATACACTCAGTCAGCAGCATGTATTTTGTGTATTTGCGCGTGTGTGGGTCGAGTGCTGAGCTACCTTCTGCGGTGAGTGTGTTCTTCCACTGCTGTCTGGTGCGTCTGGCGTGTTGTCGGACGTGTTGAACGATGCGCGCCTCGTAGTCACCCTGCCCCTGGTAGAAGGCCATGGCCAGGGTGCTGTCCACGGGGTCGACGTAGTCTTCAGCAATCCACACACACACACACACACACATGCACACAGCAGGGGAGAGGGAGAGTGTGCAGCGAAGAAACGCGACACTGTTGGGGTGTGTCTGACCTGGGTTGAGCAGCAGGCCGTAGACGTTCTCCAGAATGCTTCTCACAGTACTGCACACATCCAATGTGCAGACACACATGAGAGGACGGTTGATGAGTGTGCGGTGGTGATTTACCCCACCTGTCGGTGGTGTAGGCGCGTCCGAGTATGGGGTGGCAGATTTTGCCGTATGCGTTGACGTTGGCGTGCTGGATGGGCGTCTCGAAGCGCAGCTCGGGGGGTCGGTTGGGGTAGTCGGCGGGGAAGATCATGTACAGCAGCCACGTGCCGTCCTTGTACACCGTACCGTCAGGACCCTCCTGCACACACACACATTGCACACGTCGGCCCCTGGCATCGGCGTCTTTGTGTTGCCCAGATTACCATGACGATGCGCCAGAAGCCGATGTCCGTCTGCGATGGGTACACGTCAACGGCCGGGTGGGGATGCTGCAGCAGCCCCCGCATCTCACGCATCAGGCGACGAGTGCGCTCCTGGTTGCCACCGCCGCCCTCACCACCACCACCCGACACACGTGCCGCCCCCTGACCCCCTCCCTCTTGAGCCGCATGGCCATGCGACGCTATGCGGGCGCTCTGGCGCCTGCCCCCCACCCACTGCGACCCCTCTCCCTGCCCCTGGCCGCCCTCTCCGTCTTCATCTGCTTGCTTGTTGGCCTGGAGTGCGGCTGCGAGGCTGCGGAATGTCTGGTTGGCCTGCAGCTGGGCCACCTGGCGGCGGGGAGGGACGGTGGTGTCGTTGCACACGTCGATGGGAAAGCGGATGGAGTTGCCGAGCAGCGCCGAACACATGAACTCGCTGTTGGGGAGGGAGTCGGGCCGCAGGTTGGGCGGCCGCTCGGACGCTGCACACACACAAGGGTGGCGGGGAGGATGAGCAATGGGGCTTTGTTGAATGCAGGGCCTGACTGAGTGCCTTAATTACCGCTGAGCATGACTTCGAGTTCGCAGAGTTTGAGTGCACTGCGGATCGAGTCGGGCTTGAACACATAGCCGCCGGTGGCCTTGGCCAGGTACTTCAACTGACCACAGAACACACAATTCACCCTCTGGTCGAGAGAACCGTATCTTCCTGGCCGACCTGGTCGTTGTTTCTGCCTCCTATCATGACGGCGTCGCACAGCACATCGCTCTCACGCAGCGCCTTCGCCTCTGAGAACCTGCACAGACCACACGTCAGCAATGCTCTCACCACTGCGGGCCACGTGTCAGATGTCCTGCAGTTTGTACCAACCAGGTGGTCTCCGATTGGCTGTCCTCTCCGTCGCTGAGGACGATGATGCGCAGCTGGGCCTTCGCCCTCGTGGGCTTGGCGGCCTTCCACTTGACCAGCTCCTCTCGGGCCCGCTTGACGGCGTCGAAGATGGCGGTCTCGCCGTCCCATGTCGCGTCGTCAACAGCACGCCTGAAACGCTCCAGATACGGACCTGCAGCACAGCACGCCACAGCAGATTGGGAAAGGTGGGGCCATGTGTAGGTGTCGCTGTGCGGTGTGTGTCTTGCTTACTGAGTTGGCATGTGTATCTGATTTTGGTTCGGTCAGAGAAGAGGATGAGCCCCAGGCAGTTGGGGGTGTCGTAGGCCTCGATGCGATTCAGCAGCGTCTGAGGGAGCAAGAGAGACAGAGGGACATGCAATAGAGGCGACCCAGTCATCCAGCCACCTGCTTGCATACTCACTTACCGAGAATAGCTGTGCCACGACGTGGAGTCTGCGCATGAGTGACTCCTCGTTGATGGGTCTTGGCTCGCACGGCCACACCGACCCGGCCGCCTGCTGGTTGAGGAACTCGCCCCAGTTGGTGCGGCGAGCGTCGAGCGATTGAGGGTGGCCGTGGTGTGTCACTGAGCAGACGTGGTCGTGACGGTCGTCCAGACGCTTACCGATCCTATAGTTGTCGCCCCCTTCAAAACACAGCAGGGCAGAGCACAGCACAGCACAGCCGACCCATTCATCCACTGCCTCTGCGGCCGTTCGGTGGTCATCAAACATCCTGACCGTTGTTCTCGAGGTTCCCCCAGAGGCAGGTGCGGCTGGGGAGATACCCCTCGGAGAGGCCCAGATGTGATGCATGGGCCCAGAGCCGAAAGCGAAGACCCTCCTGACACACGAGCCAACACAGGGGAAAGAAAAAACCAAAATGCATGCAATCCCGTCTTGCCGTTGTGCGATGAAGGGCGCACCCACCACGGTGAGAGTCGATGGCACAACCAAGGGGAAGACGTCATGGAAGTTCCGCCACATGCTGACCACACACAATACACCATCCACGCCACGCACATATTGGGCTTGGTGTCTGGCTGGACGAGTGAGTGCACATACTCGCGATAAGGGCTATCCGTGAGATTGACCATCAGAAGCGCAGGGGTCAGTCTGTCCCATCCGTCGTCGTCACCCCCTGTGTGTGTGACAACCAAGGCAGATTGATTGCAGCACGGCACGGAAGGGAAAAGGGATGTGCCTATCACAACACAACACTCACCGATTCCTCTGTGGTGACGGGGTCTGCGGCTGGTGGCTGCTGCCGGCTCTGCCTCGGGCTGCTCCTCGCCCCGCCACTTGGTGATGCGCTCCTGACATAGAAAGGAAGGAGGGAGGACAGACAGGATGCAGGGGCCATTCTTTGATGGTACACATACATGTCAGACAGCGCACCTTGAGCTCATTTTGGGGTTCGAAGATGCTGTGCTGGAGCATGCGGCCGTTCAGCGGAGACGTGCGCTTGCCCGAGTCCCACCACTGCACCATTACAAACCACATCATAGCACACACGGCCCCATCAGTGTCACCTGCCTGATGGACGGATGCACTCACCTTTTGGATGGCCTCGCGGTCGTACACGATTCCGTCGCTGGCCTTGACGGGGTTCTGGGAAGCACAAGTAGAAGGTGAGAGGCCCTTCTGACTTGGTGAGTGTGCTGGTGGCAGGTTACTTTCATGACGTCGAAAGTGATGGGGCAGATGAACTCTGGCGGCGGTTCGTTGGGGTCGTCGGGGACGATCGGGTGGCCATCGCGCGGCACCTTCTCGAGCAGGGCAGCGACGAAGCGGTCGGTGTACTTGGTCATCATTCGAGTCGTGTTCTCGTCAGACAGCCTGTCACGCCGATCCTGCAGGCAGACAGGCACACAGGTGGGTGTGGATCGCACAGGCGAACAAACAGCTGTGCATACCCCGCCATAGAATATGGAGCTTCTTCTGCTGGTCTGCAACGCGACATCCAAGCGATTCTGCACACGCCAACACAGCACAGCACAGCCAGATGAGTGTGTGTGGGCCGGCCAGCCAGCTAGCCTTTTGCTTGTGTCATATCGGTTGGCATACGAGCTTGCAGAGTTCCTGGATGACCCGCTTGGCGGCGGCCTCGACGGTGATGTGTCTGCGCTGGCTGAGGGGCACCACACACGAGCGCATCTCCCGTATGGCCGGGTAGTTGCGGAACTTCTTCAATGCAGCCTCCAAAGCTTGCTGCGGCCACACCAGCAGACAAAATGCCCTCATACATGAAGCTCGCATAGTATCTTTGCCCGGTGTGCCTACCGGGGAGTCGTCCTCTGGATCGGTGTGGTCCCAGCCTTGCTTGACCTCCTCCTCCCTCTTCTTCCAGAAGTCCTCATCGTACCCGTCCTTGCCGAACGTGGTGCGCTCACACATTGACGTGGAGCAGTCGAGCACCACGATGATGGCCTCGTTGATCTGCTGCTCCGCCAGCTCGCCCTCGCCCATCTCTTCAATGTACCCCGACACCTTGTCGGCCAGGGCGCTCAAATCGAACACCGACTCACACCCAAATACGGGGCGGTACATCATGCGGCCACTCCCACACGGCTCCATGCCTACACACACACACACACACACACACAGAAAGACGCAAGGCCTCTGGCAGCGTTTCCGTCGTGTGTATTTCGTCTCGGTGACCGACCTCTGTACACTGCCGTGCGAAGGTCCTCGTCGATGGTCAGCGCGGGAGCTTGCGCCTGCCCCAGGGCGGCCGGACTGACGAGCTGCAGGCACTTGACCTCCTTCGGGTTGGCGGCGTCCTTCTTGACCATCGCCCACTGGTACGACAGGCTGCGCGACGCCGCGGCCATGGGCCCCTCGTCCATGGCCTCGTCCTCGGGCGGCAGCCACACGAGCACCTCCATGCAGCCGGTTGGGGTCGCCTGCAGCAAGAGGGCCATGTGTTTGGACGGCGAGGGCACTGATGCCGAAGATGACGACGTCATGGACTCGTCGCGGAGGCCATTGCACAGCTTCAACAGACGATTGCGAACTGAAAAGGGGATATAGAGACCAGATGCCATCTTGCGACTGTTCGTCTAGTGTCGCCTGATGCACCCAGCCCACCTGTGAGGTTGGATTCCTGGACACTTTCGCTGTAGAATGGGTGGGTGAGTCGGGTGTGGGAGGCGGTGCACGTGAGGGGCACCTTGCGGTAGGTCTCCGTGTCGGCATCCTGGCTGCGAGCGCGACTGGCGAGGACGTTCAGCAGCACTCGAGAGTGCTCGAACAAGTGCTCGTCGGGAATGGTCGATGGCGCCATCTCGCGAAGCAACTGCAAAACAAACAGCGAGGCACGGGTGGGCCCTGGGGTGAAATGGCAACACCTCTCCTCGGCGCGTACCTTGAACATGACCCTGGCGACGAGGGCCTTGTCTGCCGGTCCGATCTGCTTGGCACAGCCAGTCTTGGCCGACAGGATCACACGCATGGCGTACACAGCGGGCGGGAAGGACACGACGGCACGGAGGTGACCTGCAGGACAAAGACAGCCGATGAATCGACATCAGATGATGACACAAACTGCTGGTGTCTCCCTCCCGCCTGCCCATGCACCTGTGAGTTTGTTGACGGATGACGGGTCGGCCTTTTCGGCCAGCACATAGAGGGAGGCCAGGAGGTCACTGACGCCCTTGGAGGTCTGCCTCTTGACGTTGTTCTTGACATTCATCGGCAGCCCCCAATGAGACGACGCCGCAAACACAGCCTGACGCACAGGAAAACATCGTGTCATCCCCCAGCAGTGTTTGTGATTTGCCCTACATCGAGGCATTCGTTTCCCTCCTGGCCCCCGTCGTCCTCGTCGCTATCCTCTCGGTCTTCGCTGTCGACGTCAATCACCTTACCATCGCTTTCCGTGTCCATCGCCGCTGGCGCAGCGGCAGCAGCGGCCGCTGCTGCCGCGGGCGCCTCTGCCGGGCCACTGTCCTCCTCGCTGGTGCTGGTGGCGAGGGCCATGGCGGGGCGGACGTTGACGTAAGCCGTCACGTCGGGTGAGAGGGCCGGCACGTACTTGAGGTGGTCGATGAGCTGCTGCACTGTCCACTTGCCGCTGTACGAGGGCATGCGATGGTAAGCACTGAAGACACAGGGAGGGAAGCCATCCATTGGAAGGCGTGTGTGGCGGTGTGTGTCTTTGGTTGACGTCTGTAACCCACCTGAGTATGTCCACCAGGAAACGAGCATCCTCCGCCGATGCCTCACTCACGGTCAGGTTGATGGTCTTGTTGCTGTCGTCGGTGCTGCTGCGGCCCAGCACGAGTGCGATGATGTCGACCACGCTCAAGCGGGGGTCGCGAAGGCGCATCTCACCGCTGTCACCCTCCTCACGCAACGACAGGCGAACACGATCCGACAACAAGCCTGGCACACAAGACGAGCAGCGCATCTGATCCCGTTTTCCAGCCCCCACTATGGATGGGCTCCCTCACCTGATGCTTTGTGTATCCTGTGGCTGAGCGTCTTGAGCTTGTGGTCACTGGCCGCCACCAACTCCATCTGTCGGCTCGTCTGTGTGCCCTGCTTGACGGTGTAGCCCACAGGCAGCTGCAGCTTGAGCTTCACCGTCAGGGGGTGGTGTCGAGCCGTGCTCAGAGTGGCCGTGATGCACGGCAGGGTCGCCGCCGAGCCGCCCCGCTGGTAGGTGATGATCTGGGATATCGCCCGCAGCTTGATGCCCACAAACTCGAGAGACTCGTGCAGGGCAATCGAGCCGAGAGGGATGGTCAACTGCAGACACACACGCATCAAGGCAGACAGGAAGGTTAGGTTTGTGCATCACTGGGCGAGAGCATTGACGATGTGTGTACCTGTCCCACGCGCAGGACGCGCAGGCCCCACTGGGTGGCATCGAATCCAAGTGCACGAGCTAACGCCTCCGACAACTGTCTGCACCACACCACACACGCCACACATGCAGTACACACATCGTCTTCCTCCACCCATGGTGTATGTCTACTTGCGTGTGGTGTTGCTGTTGAGTCTGATGACTGCCCGCTGCCAGTCGGCCTGGCCGCCCCCCACACCACACACTGTCGACGACGGCAGGAACACCTCCAGGTCGAAACTGGTGGCACCGACCGCAGCTGTGGCGGTCTGCGGCTGGGGCAGGCTGAAGTGCCAGTAGGTCTGACACGACGGGCAGGTGCGCAGGCCGGTCGTCTTCATGCGCGCTTCGAAATGCCTGCACAGGCAGTGCCCTGAAACGCGATAGAGAGAGGCGAACCAATGTGTGTATGTTAGCCTGTCAGTGCATGTCTGTCGCCCCCCCCCCCCCCCCCCCCC